GGCTACTCAGGCTTAGCCAACATGGCCGAGCTAAGACAAAATGTCATAAAATACACAAACAACTGCCCGTTCGACTGTCCAAAGTGCATGTAATATAATAATGAGTAATGTGCAATTCTCGATATATAGTCAATAAATTTCTCCTTTAAATGACAAAAAAAGGTATTTTATGTTTTGATAAAAGGAGCAAAAACTTTATACTAGTAGTTACTAATAGTAAATACTTTACACAAATAGTTCAGGGATCCTGTGAGTGGTGGAGTTGACGAGCAGGTCCTTGCAGTGCATCAAAAAAATGTCTCTTCGTTGGAAAAGAAGTTCTCCCATGTCGGAAGAATCCAAAAAGGGAGAAAAGTTCCTCTTCTGTGACCGTTGGCGGTATAGGAAAATGATGCCACTTCTACGCGCCGTGTAGGCTACAATGTGGGGGACGACTAGGTACCAGACTGCGTTGCAATGGCGCCCTTAGTTGTCAGCAACCAGACAATACGCATGGTCTCTACTCGGCCACCCCAAAAGTGAAAGCTGTCTTTAAATGAAAACAAATCTTTTGCAAATAGACAAATATTACCCTATAGGCTCTAATAAAATAATGTACAATGCAATGGTTGGAAATTTAAGCTATACAGAGTGAGTCAAGATACATGTACATTTCCAGTAATTACATGTGTGTATATAAAAATCCACTGTTTCTTTACACAAAAACATACATCGGGAATAACTAAGAAAATAATAACCAAAGTGAAACATATTAAACTTACGGTTCTTCACCCTCTAGGTGGGAATTTAGAAGCACAAGATGTTGCAGCAATGGCTTCAAGCATCTCTTCGGTTTGAGTTTCTACAAGCTTCTGTCCTGTACCAGATTCCTGCACTTTGCGCTCCAGTACGCATGAATGAAAAAAACCTGATATGTTACATAACCACGGCTAAAAGAAAGGCAAATGCTATGAATTTAAAGGACAGCTGTAGATAGACAATGGACAGGACGATTACAACACTATACTCAAACCCAGTCTCACACCTTCTATAATACAAAAGAAAAGTGGAACTAGAAGTATAAGGCGTTTGTTGAGTTACAAACACAATGTGGTCGGGCTGGCAATTTTAAAATTTAAAATTTAAATTTTTTCTTCAAATTCGACCTTCAGTAACTTCCAGTTTGATGACGCCATAATTTTGAAACCTTCCAAAGTTATATGTAGTTAATACAAAAATAACAAGGGGCGATTTGGTTAAATTTGGACAGATGATTTTAAATTAAAAAAAGGAAACCCTATTTGATGTACCGCTAGAGGGCGCCCTTTCAAATGATGACGTCATAATGCTGTTTTTGTGTCCTTTATTCTGTTCTACATTGTAAACCCTTCCATAATTTATTTGCTTATAGTAAAAGGCATCCGCTTTCGAGTTATACTCAATTTTTATTGCACTTCCGGTAACACCGGAAGTGAAGGTCAAGCGGTTTTGTGCCCTGGAATAAGAATTGTTGCCCGAGGCATCATTTACAACCTCACGCAAAAACGAACATGATACTCTATTTAGTTCTAGAGATATAGCTGAAACTGTTTTCACAAATTTGGCCCTTAAATTGCTTGTAATTTGATACCTGATGATGTCATGATGACATCAGATTTTTGTTTACATTTATGGACGGAGGTTCAAGTTCATACCAGGTTTTATCATAATCCTGTAAATCGTTTGGAAGAAATTTGGTTCGTTTTGATCTTGAGGCTTCTGTCTGTGTTTTGAATTCACCTAACTTTGACCTTTCGGTTGACCCAGAAGTAAAGGTCAAGCGAGTTCACGTACACGAAATGAAATGTTTATCAATTAATTGTCTATCTGATTACAAGATTGGCACGTGATTTATCATTTTGTTCAAGAGTTATAGGTGAAACAAGATCGTCATTTTTTCAACATGACTTCAGAGTAATGTGCACCACTTGGGATGAGGGTCGATATATATTTAAAGTTACAAGTTCATATCATAAACCGTTTAGGAGAAAACCCGCAGAGAAGTATTGTCCAGAAAAAAAAAAGAAAGAAAGAAAGAAAGCAAGAAAGGAAGGAAGAAAGATTAATTGCAACAACTCCAAAGAGTGGTCGGGTTGTGCCCGACCACTCAAAAATCTGGCAGCACCGCTGACAGTCATCCAAAACAATCCAATAGAAAATAAGTATTTTTATCATATTTGTTTAAACTGAAGCTTTTGTAACTGTTCAGTTTTGCAGGTCACCCTCCAAAAATGTATAATAAGTGTAATCTAAATAGGTAATCTGGGTGATATGAGTATGAAAGGTTTGTTTGTGAGAGTTACATGTTTGAAATTGAACAATGTCAAAGTAAAGTGGTTCCATCTTAAAGTGTGGTTCATCAGCTTCCCCTTTAAACATTATTGAAAGCTGAAAGCATCTCTGTAGTCAGAGATGAACGAGCACTATCAATTTCAGAACGATTGCTAAAAACTCCTTTTCCAAGTTGGCTAAATCAGTAGTGATTAAAGCTGTTTGAGAAATGCACTGTTGCTGTGGACTTTGCATTGAAAAGGAGGTATGATAGAGATAGTGGGTGCATAAAATGGTACTGTACACCATAATGTTCAATAAATATGCTACATTCGAGATATTTACATAACTAGGTTCTAAGCTTATGGTACACCTGAGGATTAGGCACACCTTGAGTATACACATATAGCTTAAAATTCATTTGATGTACCTTGCGGACTTAATTTCTGCAGAATACAGACTTGTATTCGAGTCACTAAACATCGAGTCCGAGTCCAAGTCCAAGTCCAAGTCCCGAGTCATGTAGGTCGAATCCAAGTCACGAGTCACAAAGGTCGAGTCCGAGTACGAGTCGCCAGTCACGTCTAATATATATTGGAAATAAATTTGGAGGTACTGCTAAAACCTCACAGTGTAAATGTTTTCATTTTTTTCACAGCTTTTCTCTAATTTAAAGAACTGGAAATTACATGTTAAACATAAGGCAAGGCACTGCATGCAGTGTCTAGCTGCATCTGGAAAGGATAATCTGGTACCAAACATTGTCAAGCTTGCATTTACTCAATATCAAGTGTGGACGCTGGGGCATGTTTCGATACATTGAATCCCCAAATCAATACATTGTATATCAGAAGCCGCACATCGCGCACTGTGTATCACTTGCTAAGGAGAGGATCGCCTTCAAAATAATTTGTAGTTACAGTGTGTATTACAAACCTAAGTGATTTGTGGCAATTTTGGTCGAGTCCCGAGTCATGCAGGTCGAGTCCAAGTCCAAGTCCAAGTCTGAGTCCGCAGCATCAAGTCCGAGTCTGAGTCCGAGTCATCTGTCATGGTGACTTGAGTCCGAGGCCAAGACACAGAAAATGGAACTCGAGTCAGACTCGAGTCCCAGTCCGAGTTACGAGTCATACAAGTCTGGGAGAATGCATTGTATTTTTGGGTTTGACAAACATATAAGACTCTCCTAACCACACTCATGCTAAAGTATTACCAAGGGGTCAGTCAGAGGCTTTCATCCACTTCCCTTTCCTGCTATACTGTGTATCACCCAGCCATCACGTTTTAGTAGTCAAAGACAAAACGTACAAACAGTGAAGTCAAGATGATGCTGATCAGTGTAGTGAGCTCGCCTTCAGCTCACTTTGCCAGACATCTACCGGTATGCCCATGGTCCTGAGCCAGTTGTTATTATAGCTCACTTTGTCTGGTGGTCTCCTTCGGTGGCCTGGGTTGTCCCAACTTGGTGCTCTCCGTAGATGGCTAGTGGGTCAGACCGGCTCAGTGCTCTCCATGGATGGCTTGGGCCGGGCCAGCTCAGTGCTCTGTAGCCAGCTCAGTGCTCTCCGTGGATGGCTAGTGGGCCAGACCGGCTCAGTGCTCTCCGTAGATATCTTGGGTCAGACCGGCTCCGTGCTCTCCATAAATGGCTTAGGCCAGACTGGCTCAGTGTTCTCCATAGATGGCTTGGACCAGACCGGCTCAGTGCTCTCCGTAAATGGCTTGGGCCGGGCCAGCTCAGTGCTCTCTGTAGATATCTTGGGTCAGACCGGCTCCATGCTCTTCGTGGATGGCTAGTGGGTCAGACCTGGCTCAGTGCTCTCCGTAGATATCTTGGGTCAGACCGGCTCCGTGCTCTCCGTGCTCTCCGTGGATGGCTAGTGGGACAGACTTGCTCAGTGTTCTCCATAGATGGCTTGGACCAGACCTGCTCAGTGCTCTCCGTAGATGGCTTGGGCCACACTGGCTCAGAGCTCTCCATAGATGGTTTTGGCAACACTGGCTCAGTGCCATTAAACCAATGCAAGTTCCGTAGACGAAAATACAAACAGAAACTTTTATAATGGGAAATCTACTTTCTAAAATGCCTGGCTTTACAACTACAATTCTCTTTTTGCATCAAGCTTCTCATATAAACCCCAACAATTCTCTGCTTAAATACAATCAGCTTAACCTCATTATCAGAATTTGTAACTGCAATGATACAAACATTATTCATAATTCATTACAAATCATCTTCAGGGTTTAAACATTTAAAAAAAAAAAAAATAATATAAACTTACAGTTACATATAATATGTTCTCAAAAAGGTCTTTAAATGTGCGTCTTGGTTGAGTGTTGCAATATGAGCTTGAATTAGGACCGGTTGTTGAGCATCTCGTCGGCTCTGGTTTTGCCATAACTGATGATCCGATCACACCAGGACTGGAATTCTCCGGTCAATTGTCACCTGCTGTTTCAGGGATCTAAGGGAATGTAGTTAGTACTGGTCAATCATACATTATTATTCACTCAGTTCACTCTTGCAATGTTTGTAATTTTAAGTTCATAACTTTTTCACTTATTTCTTCGTTATATTCAGATTACCTTTTTTTTTATACACACTGTACAATGTATATGAACATGTATGTTGATTGTATCAAAAGAAGTGTTATGTGGAATTATTAATGGTGATTTGGAATGTCCTTTCCATACATACTTTTACTTGACAGAGATCGACTTTACCTGGATGACTTTAGGACATGTTACAGTCTGTAAGTATTAAATCTATGCTTAATGATGTGTTACAATGGGACAGGTTCTCAGGCATGTCAGGTGATATGGTAGATTTTATTCTGCAGTGGTAGCATGACAGCTGAGTGTGGCCAGTGCTGTGAAAACTTAGTTGTTACATGATATGCACTCCCTACATGTGTTCTGATCAGTAGCTAAAACCAAACTGAAAATTTCTATGGTTAAAGCTGGGGCTCAGGATGTTGGCCTGTGCCTCACATTCCTGGAATCCTGCAGGGCTACTGCACAGGGTTTATGGAGAAACAGAGTTGGTGACAAAATATATTTAATGCAGGCAGCCTGCCAGATGCACACAAGTTTGTCATTATATGCACAGTGTAAATGCACATCCTAATTAACAAGTCAGGTGAAAGGACCCTATATCAGGTCTGGTTCGTCATACCAAGTTTCATGACTTTATACAAGTTTGCACACTGAACTGTGAAAGTGAGGGGACTACATGTACCCATACTGTACTTTGCACATGTCATTCAAATTTTAAAATGTTCAGGTTTGTATACTTTCAATGACACCTTCTCAGTGAGCACAGTACACACACTACAGCTGCCAAGTATGAAAGTACATGTATCATGTAATCAGGGTGGGCTTTGGTTTCCCTTCGAATTTGTGTCACATTGGCAACAACTTACAGGCTTATTGTTTGTTGGAGTTCAAAAAGGGCATGAATCAGATCTTTTAAAATGATTTCTCTGAACTGTTTATGCTCTAGTGCTTGGAGTTCATTCAGTAGATTAAACTTACATGTACTCAATATGAATGGATAAAGTGAGTTTGCTTAATTATAAAAATGATTGAAAGTTGGACAAACATTTAAAGTTGGTTACATGTTTATCTATTGTGCATGAAACATCCACACATTATGGATCTTGCGTTACCTGTAACACATCGATGGCAAATACGTAAGAACATTCCCTGACTGTCGTCAATCACTACTGAATGAATTATTTTTTTAATGGAATTCGTCCACTGAAAGGCCAATAGCAACTTGGGGTTAGGGGCTACAAACAGAAGTGTAGGACAGAAACAATCAAAGAATGAAAAGTAAAGCATAGATTAATAATGTTTGGGTTTTTTAACAGGAATGGACTTCATGCCATGCCTACAATAGTGTATACAAATCCAGACAAGTCACACACCTATAAATTGGAGGCTAACCTTCACTGCTCTGCTGAACTAGTAAGTTGAGAAAATGAGCAGTAAATTAAGTCAAGTACTTCTGAATGAAGTGATTACCTCTTACTTTGTATGTATATCACAGGTCTTTTCACCGTAGACAAATACTGGGGATGTACATGTATAGCACTCTTGAAATGCTTACCCCTACATCTGACCTACCAAGACCAGGGTGTTGATAGTGCACTAGAACATTGCTAGTAATGACCACAATTAGTTCAACAAAAGATTGTTCAGTATAGAGGTTGTTTGTTAAAGCCATTTTAGGCTGCCGGCCTGGCACTCAAAGGTTTCCAAGTTGAATCTGTATACATGTACTCTTCTTTCAAATCATGGAGAATTGAAGGAAACTTCAAGCCACGTACATTGTACGTGGCTAGTCACGTAAAGAATATTTGCCAAAATTGGCTGTACTGCAGGTTTAGTAGCATTCGTGTATTAAGGCCTCTAGATATTTAATGTACACACCATTGTAAGTTTCTTTTTGAAAACTTTGGTTCAGTGATAAGTCACCTTAGTTTTAGTCAAATATTCATGTTAATAAAGGCTTTACCAAAACACTAGTCATCAGTTATTGTAAACAAGTTAATGTTAACCCTTGTCTAAGTAACTTAGAAATCATTACAACTACTTTTGGGTTGATGAAAGAAGTCAAACGCCTCAATTTAAATCGTGTTGGGAAAAATTATTGGATGAAATATTAATTGAACTTCCACACGGAAAAAGAAAATAGTCGACATTAAAGAAATTAAGTTGAGAACTTCAATTACAGATTCATGCATCGTATAATATCAACTAAAGAATTGTTGTATAAAAATGGGAAGTCTGTTATGCTCAACGTGTGATACGATTGACGACTGTAAACATGCATTGTTAACCTGTAAACAAACAACTGAACTGTATCAGTTAAAGGTATACTATCAAGCAAAACCAAAAAATGATTTTATTACTCAAACATTAAGCTTATTAACAGTTGTTGATCTGAAAACCCGAGGTTAATTTCATAATTACAATAGCAATGTTTTCAATGTATAGCAAGAAAAAAAGTTAATATGGAAAAAAGAAGGATTCCTTTTTTATTATTTTTCATTAAAGAATTATTATTCCGTGCAAAGTTGCAAAAGAGAAACAAAGTCTTCCTGAAACCTTTTTTTGATAACTAAAAAAATTATGATACAAAATACAAAATGAATGATTAAAAACCTGCCAAAACAGTCCAAAAATCTTGGCATGGCTCATAAGGAGCAGCTGACGATTAGTGACCAATCAAAATGTTGTGCTGTTTCTCACCAAGATAGTGTCACAGTTCATACATTTGGCTCTGAGTGGTCGGTAAACCTGTTTGACATTTGCATTGCATTTCTGGTGTGAAATTTTTACACAAACCTATGGGGACAGTGAACCAGTGAACTTTAATTTCTTCCTAGTATTTTATCGATTATCAATTCAAATGTTATAGCAGAAAGGTAAATATCAAATTAAACGCTTTGAAAAACAAAACAAAAACTGTATCTGTAAAAATTCTTGGTTTTTTTTTTAAATCACCTTCATTTATTGTTTCCTTCCGAACGGTACATTTCAGGTGTAACAATTTCACAGAGTATTTGGTATCAGACCTGTCTTCACTATGAGCAAGGTCTTTCTCATTAAATCGGTAGGTTTGTTTCTGGGTATTTACCAATGTTACTACATGCCAGGACAGTATTTTTTATTAAGAGTGCAACGGTATCAAACTTTTGTATAGTAGAATTTGCTTTGAGAAATATATTTTCTGAAGGAGATTTTAATAAGAAATAAATTTCACACTTATGTAACCAAAATGTTTTACATGTACCAGTATGTGTGTATTCTGATTTTTTTCTTTCTTTCCTCTCCCACAGAACATATTACCCATGGTAGATGGTGAGCACAGACCCTACGTACTTGGTCTTACTAAATGCCAGAACCTCATCCGAATTGATCTTCAGACTGGTCAGATCTTGAAGAAGATATATCTTGGTCACCATCATTTGTAAGTTAACACTCCTGCTGTTTAAAAGGTCACAAATGGTCAAAATTTCCTTCCACTCCCCATGGCTTACTTTTAACAAACCAATGGGTCACCTCACCAATATGGACCCAGGTAACAGCATGGCTCAGAATGCATGTGTAGCCTTTTATGCAACAGTAGCCTTTTAATGAGCATTATAATGCTACGTTCATACTTAGGAATTGGATTGGTCCTGCCACTAGACTAATACACCCCTGTATTTTGCATGTCTTCCTACACATCTGCTCACCCACCTGCTCAACTGGATATCTCGGGCTTGGTCATCTATTGACCCCTGTGATATTGTGGAGAGACCAGGTGGGAAAGAGTGCGATTTGTTACTCAGGGACTGCTCTTGTTTCACTTGACAACTACCCACAATTCCTTTACACACACAAAAATGATCACTGATCTGTCATAATTGATAGTGTTTTGTCCATCAGTGGCATTGCTATCTACCAAGCAGTATCATCTCGTGGGTCTCAACATTTCATTTTCGGACAGATATTCAAATATTTGTCCAGCACAATGCGTATGCATTAGGTCTCCATAGAGAGGGGCAGTGGTTGTCCATCTGTGCCAATGAGGAAGCATTAAAGTTACTTCCCACCATATTCGTGCACTTGTGGCAACCATTTGGAAAATCACACCATACAAATTTTAAGAATCTGAGTATTTAATACTTAAAATGAATTAATGAAAGCAGAAAAAATATCCATATTCAGCAATTAAAGAAAGAATCAGGTTTTGAGAAATTGCTCACTGAATTCAGAATTAAGTGTTAATCCTAACTCCCTAGCTTATTTTACTAGGAACTGGACCAAGTCCATAAAAATCCATCATTCACTCTGCGTCCAATACAAAACTGTACATGACATAATGGAATCCACCACTGATGCACTGGTTGACATTCATAGATTTGCTACACATGGCTTTTATCCCAATAGCAGTACAGGAAGCTAGGCAAAATCAATCGGATACCCCTAGCACTGCTTCAGGCCATTAGGCCCAAGTCCATCATACTCCATCAATATTAAGTCACACCAGGCCTTCTAGACAAAGTCCCCCAAAATCCACCAAAAAGGGGGGATGGATTTTGATGGAGTTGGGGTGGTTCCAGGGTTAATCATTTTTGTGTGTTACGTCCATAGATTGTGTAGAAGCATTGGTTTGACTCTAGTAGCAGACTTGAGGACAAGTCACTAAATAGTCGTGTACATGTATGTTTATTGGTGGCCCAACATCTACTAGCACGGCACTAATCATGCTTCTTATCATATGCTTGGTTCAATAGCTTCATGGTTCAACATATCTAGCGACTTGACTAACATGATTTCAGATGGATAGTCATTTATGCGCACAATGAAATGCATATGTGCATTACCTTTCCATAGAGAGGGCCAATGATAGTGGGGACATCTTTCTCTAGATCAGTGTATGTTTCTCTCTTTTTTTCAAAAGATTCTCATTAGAATATTAAATTCAATATTATAGTGATGAGGCCAAAAAAAAGAATAGTTCTGCTTCCGGTTACCCGACCGACCCTATTTTTAGGCTGCGACCCTAAAAATTTTATCGGCAATTCCAACACAAAAAAAACAAACAAACAAATTTGAATAAATACAAATAAAATCTGTCTTTTTCTGTCTTCACAAAATACCTCTCAACAACCCTTTTGCATCCAAAAATGCTTGTATTTATTTGTTTTCTTACTTACATTCGCTTTTTTTCAAAAGAAACCTCCGTTATTACAAATTCGCTTCGCGACATAACTACTTCGCAATTCGATGTCACGCACGGTGACTATAATCACGTGGCGACAACTGGTTCCCACCACGCCGCGCCGCGCTGCGCAGGGGCCAATTTAGAAGACATATTGTAAATGCGGTAACCAGTCCAAAGCTAGCTATATGACCGATAGCGCGCTATCGGTACAGTGCAGGCCACTGTCAACTGGTCGGATTCGACATCGTAAAAATGCCAAGAAAACACCGATGGAGAAAGAACATTTTTGCAAGTTAATTTACAGAATTGATCTAGCTTGTCTGTGTATGTATTTTCTGTGTTCAGGAGTTCATTTTGAGATCGCACTACTCGTATTTGGAGTGATACATGCCGCGTGTTTCCCGAAATTGTTGACCGTTAAAACAGGTCTGTTGGCCCATGGTGGGACGCTCGCCACACACGCACGCATCACACACCTCGGAGTTTTGGCCAGCTCCCCACGTCTTGACTAGCGTTGTGCATATGGTGCGAACGGCCTGAATTTTTCATTATTTTTTGAAATTATCGAACGTAAATATATTGACAATAATTAAAGGTAGGTTTTACTCACTTTTTGTTGCCATTTCGTGTATAGCTTTCGTAGTGCAATAGAAATAGTTCAGGCTAAAACTTCGCATATAATTGAATACCCCATTCAATCTGCATAAAAAAAATTGGCCAAAAAAAAAACATTTCCGACCGACCGACCCTATTTTTGAAAGGCATGTAATCGGAAGCAGAAATATTTTTTTTTTTGGCCTAATACAATTATGTGTGGAAGAGCATCTGTACAGAAAGTACAGGGGTGCAGTTGAGCGCAGCAGTTAATTTTAACATAAATTTTGCATAAGTTCATTGCGCAACATTTCATGCTGAGCAACATTTCAGTAATGACACTTTTCACGTAAATTTCATTGTGCATTAGTCTGCGACTTGCGCAACAAATCATGGTGTAACTTGCACAATCATTTTAGGTGGCGTAAGTTGTGGCATAGCAACTGAAAAGGAAGAATTCTACTAGCAAATCATGATCTTTGTGCACAACATATCAAGGTTGATACAAAACCCTCATAGCTTTGTATTTGAGGTAAATGAAATACTATTTGAAAGTTGGGCACAAATATTATTAAAATGGCCTCTGTCCGGCATGGCATGCTGCGCATTGATCCATATTTGGAATAATAGTATGATTAGCAGAAATAAATGTTTGGGTACAGACTGCAAAGCATCAAGCCTTAAAATCAGATTGCAACTAAGGACTTTAGTTACAAAGGGAACAAAACAGTCGTTTGATTGTAGAGCCTTAGCTTTACGTCATCAAAATGGGGCTTGTAGCAAGATGCTACAAGATGGCGCCATTGAATGGTGCCATTATTGCTTGCTGTCACGATGTTTTGCTTGATTTAACGTTTGGGACTCATTGTTTTAGTGCTGTTTTTGTGTACCCAAGAGAGGAACTGATTTTGTTGGGGAATGAGGACTAGCTGTGGAAACTTGGACTCGTGAACAACTGGATTTAATTGGGGATTCTGGCCAAGACGTTTGTGCCTTTCCACGTAAGAATGGGACACATAAGCAAAGATCCAGAGGGGGTAGGCTTGTGGGGCTTGGGAAACATCCTAAGTGAACGCCTTGCCCAGCATCTTTTTTGCCAATGTTAGATCACTTCGGAATAGAACAGGAGAACTTAATGGTCTTATCTATGCCAGGAAGGATTTTCGCGACTGTTGTGTTTACTTTTTAATCGAAACCTGGCTTGATGCTTCAGTTCCAGACACCACCATGACTCCCCCTAGATTTATGCTTTTCAGATGGGATCGTGCATTCAGAGATGTGGACAAAGAGAAAGGAGGTGGGGTGTGTTTTCTGTTGGGCTTGTCACACCAGAACGTTTTAGGCCAACGCGTGAGTAGCCCGTTAAAAACAGTTGATACGCTGGCAAGCGCTGAACTTTCACAGAAAAAGTCAAGTTGAACCATGATTTCAGCGTGTCCATAACACATGAATAACGGGTTCATAGCGTATGCCGGCGCATGAGAAGCATGTGAGGAATGTGCTCAGCGTGTGAGGAACACATCACTGATTTATCATTAAAATATGACAGCGTATCGCCAGCGTACGCCAGCGTTCGCCAGTGCGTGAGTAACGCGTTAGTAACACGTTAGTAACGCGCTTGACGACTGATGAACGACTGCCCAGCGCGTGAGTAGCACGTTCCAACACACGCCAGCGTACTGCAACAACCACGTGATTTTTTGTATAAATAACAGACTACAGTACTTCATTCTTGCATTAGTCTCCGAACCGTGAACATCTTCTTCAACTTCATCATGCCTCCCCCAAGCCCTCTAAGAAGTCGGAGACGCAGAAACCTGGACGTGTTAGAGGCAAGAAGAGTACCCCGAAGAAGACTACACCTGAGGAGTCTACTGCTGCTCCCATGATGGCTCTGTCCACTCTGCCCACTCGGAGGCCCCTGTGATGTCCCATGCCTCCCTTGACTCTGCAGCTTCTGGTGCGTCCCATGCCTCCACCGTGCAAGAATCAAGCCCAAGTAGAGCAAGAAGGCCAAGTCGCAGAACCAGCTGTCGCCAGCAGAGGGGTAGCTGATGTGCGAGTTTCTGGAGGCCAACCCACTGATCTGGAACAACCACCTGCAGGAGTATCGGAGGTCCAACAACAACAAAAAGAGCCGACTCTGGGCCGACCAGGCGAAGGCGCTGCACAAGACCTCAGCCCATATCCAGGGTTGGTGGAAGTCACTCCATGACTGCCACACTAGGCTGGACAAGAAGAAGAGCGGAGACAGTGAGCCTGAACTCACTGAGCGAGAGCAGTGGGTGAAGAACAGGTTGAAGTTCCTGCAGAACATCACCCGTCATCGCGCTGAGCCAGTGCTGGAGACCTGGACGCTGCAGAGCAGGTGTGTGCAGAGCACCATGTTGGTGATGAGGATGCTGAAGTGACGCCATCCCCCTCCTCCACATCCTCCACAGTGCGCAAGGGCAAGCGTCATGCCGAGGACGAGCTGTTGGAGACCCTGCAGAAGAAGGTTCAGGAGTCAGGGGACATCATCAAGAGCCTGACCACCCAGAAGCCTGTGACAGAGGAGCAGGCGTTTGCGAACTTTGTGCCGGACAATCTCTTGAGCATGCCCAAGGAGAAGTTCTGCAAGGCCAGGCTGTCCATCAGCAAGATCCTTAGGAGTGCTGGACTCA